CATTTGCGAACAAACGTATATTAAAGTAGGATAGAATGTAATGACCCAACCGGTCGTTTTGAGCTCTAGCGAGTCATTCGGCGATTTTAGGCCATGAATAGCTTCACTACAGGTATTATGACTTGTACGTGTGGTCGGAATTGAATTTCGGGAAGTTCGAAGTTGATTTGGAAAGAAGAAAATTCAAATTTCGGAAGCTTAAAGTTGGAGGAATTGACTACATTTGACTTTTGAGTAAACGACCTCGGAATCGGGATTTGAAGGTTCCAACAGGTTTGTATGATGATTTTGGACTTGGGCATATGTCCGGATGACCTGGACACGTTTCGGCGCCTATTGTGGAAAGTTGGCATTTTGGAACGATTTCATAAATTTGGGTTGAAGTGCATTTCAATGTTATCAATGTCCGTTTGGGATTTCGAGTCTGGGAATAGCTTTGTATGGTGATTTTGGTCTTAGGAGCGCGTCCGGATATGGATTTGGAGGTCCGGAGGTCATTTCGGGGTCATTTGGCAAAAGTTGGAAATTTGAAGGTTTTTGGAAAGTTTGACCGGGAGTGGACATTTTGATATCCGGGTCGGATTCTAATTCCGGAAGTTGGAGTAGATCCGCAATGTCGAATGTGACGTGTGATAAATTTGAGGTCAATCGGACGTGATTTGATAGGTTTCGGTTCCGAATGTAGAAGTTTGAAGTTCTAAAGTTCATTAAGCTTGAATTGGGATGTGATTCATGATTTCGATGTTATTTGGTGTGGTTTGAGGCCTCGAGCAAGTTCGTATTCTAGTTTGAGACGTGTTTGTATATTTGGTTAAGGTTCTGAGGGCCTCGGGTAGATCCCGGATGATTAACGGAGCAAGTTTTGGACTATGGGAATGTTGACGCAACTGGTATCTGGTGTAACCGCACCTGCGAGGTTTTGGTGTGCCGAGCCGCAGAAGCGGCCAAGAGGGGCGCAAAAGTGGAATTTGCTGGGACCAAATATGCGGTCAAGTTCCTCAGAAGCAGGATCGCACCTTCGCACGAAGAGCCGCAGAAGCGAAGGCGTAGAAGCGCTACTTGGCCGCAGGTGCGTAGATTGAGGGACCTGAAGGAGGACCACAGAAGTGGTATTTTGGGGCGCACCTGCGGAACAGCAGAAGCGGTCAACTGACCGCAGGTGCGAGATGTCGCTGGGCAGAAGGGTTCTTTAAGAACGGGAATTTTTCCCGTTTTCTTCAATTCTCTCTTGGTTGGGCGATTTTTGGAGAGCTTCAAGTGGTGGTTTTCATCATCTATGTCAAGGTGAGTTATTCCCACCTATTGCAAGTTAAATACTTGGATTATACATAGATTTTATCATGAAAATTCATGGAAATTTGTATAAATGGTGAGATTTTGAAAGAAACCTAGAAAATTGGTATTTTTAGATTTTGACCACGAATTTGGGCATGGAATTGAGAATAAATTATATATTTGAGTTCGTGAGGTTATGGGTAATGTTTATCTTCGAAAAATTTTAGAATCCGGGCACGTGGGCCCGAGGGTTGATTTATATCGACTTTTCGAGCGAAGTTGGGAATTGTTTAAATTGATGAATTATGGGTATCAGAACACGTATTGATTTGTTTGCACATTGATTGCGTGGTTTTGTACCGTCAAGCTTTGGTTTAAGGTGTTAGAGTGGCGTCGGAGCTAGTTATGGAACTTCGGAATGAGGTAATCTTTTTTCTAACCTTGTATGAGGGAATTAACCCCATAGGTGAATTGAATTAATATATACTTCTATTTGTGGGGGGCTACGTACGCACGAGGTGACGAGAGTCTGTATGTGGCTACTAATTATGCTTACGTCCGGGTAGTTTTAGGTTTATACCATGCCTTATTGATACCGTTATTAGATTATATTTATTATTTTCCTTGAAAAGTGTTGAGATCGAGGATTTCGAGATTTAAAAAGTTTTCATTTGGATTTCTTACTTTTGAAAAGAATTGAGGAATATTATAATAACTTTGATAAATCTATGTTTAACCGCGTCACAAGTATATTCACAAGCGGGGTAAATTTTTACTACTCTCATGAGAGCGGGCCGTTCGCCTCAGCATGTTAATAAATGCATCTATGGTTCGTGACGTTCGACCCTCGGCAGTGCACAATTTAAATATTTTATGTTAGATCGTGCCGTACGACCTCGGCATGACTTGCGCATGATAATCTCTTTGGAACTAATAATAATTGACATTGCTTCATTAGCTTGAGATATAAATTGTTAAATGTTGAAAAATAAATTTGGAAATTTCTATTAGTAAAGGATTTGTTTATTAATTTCGGTTATTGAGTTCTCAGCTATATTATGTACTCCACGCTTAATTATATGATAACGATATTTTATTATTAGCCCATAGTAAGTGTCGAAGTCAACCCCTTATTACTACTTCTTCGAGGTTAGACTAGATACTTACTGGGTACGCGTTGATTTACGTACTCATACTACATTTGCTGCACATTTTGTGCAGGTACATATATGTCTAGTGGCATTATGGGCGCAGAGGCGCGATTATTGCGGGTACTTAGGTGAAATGCATCCCATGTTACGAGTCCGCAGCACACAGAGCCTCCATCATAGTTATCTACACTCTCCTATCTAATTGTATTCCAAACAGATGTGGTATCTTACTATATATCCTAAATGATGCTCATGCACTTGTAACATTGGGTTTTGGGTGTACTTATGGGTTGTTCAGTATCGTAGTTATGAAAATATTATCTTTTACTCTGTAAATTTTATCTCTTATTATTAAATTGAAGGAAATTTTGATTTTAAAAATACTAAAATGAGTAATTAAGTTAATCAATTATTGTTGGCTTGCCTGACAGCGGTGTTAGGCGCCATCACGGCCTTTAATGGACTTTGGGTCGTGACATATACTCTTACCGTTAATAAAACTTTTTAAAAATACCCTCCACATAACGGAAATCCATAAGATTAAAAACAATCGTTTTAAAAAAGTTCATTAACCCATAACCATTTAAACCCATCATATAAAATAAAGGAACCTAGATTTCTGAGACTTCTTAACACATTTTATTCATTTAGAGAGAGATCGAGAATGATGGTGGCAATAGGATTAGTAAGAACTTATATTATTGGTTCTTAGTTGTTCATGGCGGCATTAGGATGTCATGTTATTACTTTCAGTTGTATTCTTTTCTTTTTTGCGGTTATAATATGGTATTTCTTTGTCTATTGTAATGCACACTTGACATTTTATGTTGGTAACAACTGATATGCACTTTAATAATACTGTACTTGGTTAATACATAAATTTAGTGCACATATGTTGTTAAGTTACTTTCGAGCTTGTTGTATACTTTCTTTCATTCTTGATGAATTTCCTAATATTATTTCTTAATATTAAATTGAATATCCTCTAATTATTTTTTAATTTTATTCATTAAAAGTTCAATTATTACTAAGAGTTATGAGTACCCCATCCCATAGCTTGGAATCTAACTTTGTATTTTAAGGCGTGATTTGACGATAATTACTTGTTACCCAAGTGCTTAAAGTAGAATAAGAAAATTATGGTGCGTGAATGCTCATCAACAAACGCTTTACGGTTGGAGGAAGAAATACCTTGGTAGCTGTCTTAAGACTTCAGAACTGTCAGTTTAATAAGATGTTATAAACATTCCAGTCATGGTGGAAAGAAAATCTTGGTGAATGTTCGATACAGTTCGACATGGTGGAAAGAAACAAAGAGAGAAGCCAGAAAAAAAAAAATTGGAAAAGTAGAATATAATAAATATACAATAAAGATATTAAAGGATTGGAATTTAATATAGAAATAAATATATGATTGTCGGTGATTTTTATATCTTTCACTTCTGGAGCTCAATAAGTGACTACGAAGGAGATGATGAGTTCAACGGGTTATTGATGGGTTTGTAAAAATCGGTCTTTTTGTAAGAACGTTCTTAAAAAGTTTGGTTAACAGCTAGAATAGATGTAGCCCAATAGTATAACGGAGGGTAAATGTGAATAATATATCAAAGTAGAGGGGTATATACGGCTCTTTTCCCGTTTTTTAAAGGTTCTTTGCCTACTCGTTTTTCTAAATGGATTCATGCAATAAATTCATATTAGATTAAACTGTGAATGTAGTTTAAATAGAAAAAAGAGAGGAAAAGATCGAGTTATTCAAATAATTAGTGTTCTATATGGGAAATACATTTATTGGTTATATTAGCAGACAATATGTGAAGGCTACATTAGCGTGAGTAGCAAGTCATCCAAATACCATTAGGAATGTAGTCAGAAAAAGGATTCTATATTCTAAACCATGCATATTTAACGGTGAGTTGTTCAAAATCGAATTACTATAATTATGTCCTCTTTAGGTCTGGAATTATATCTAATATTACAATTATATCCAACATTATATTGCTTAGCTAAATAGGTATATTATAATTTCACTTGAACACAGTTATTGTTTCGGATGAATTCATATTATGAGGCGGATAATAATTTTTAAGGTTTTACTTGAACTCTACAAATAATGAAGTACTTTTGTGTTCTAGCACATTAATATTATAGAGATATCTCTAGTTATTAAAGGACGTAAAAGTCTATCAATATTTGGAGAATATTATGGTCGTTCAACATTTAACGGAGAACATAGATTGGCGATGGCAGTAATAGCTCCACAAAGTGTGGAACATTAATCTTGGCTATATATTACTCATGCGCGGTGGCTAATGTTGTTGAGTGGATCCCGTGTGGCCAAAAATAGAAAGCTTCTTATACTAATGGTTTGGCGTAAAATTTGACACCTTAGGGATATATGTCCTGCAAGTGCATGTAGCAAACAAAAGCATCATGGGACATTAATATGGATAATTTTTTGTTCTAATTTCATCTCTATATATAATTAGCTGCACATGCTTCATTTTTGTACGTTACACCTTATAACCTTCACTTCTCTAGTGTTGAAGGGAAGAATTGGAGAGACACAAGCTATATCAAAACATCTACGGAACTACTAAAAGTATTGAATATAATCTGGAGTCTTGAATAACAACGTTAACACACATCCAACAAGCTAGCTAAGTCACTTGTAAAAGCATTAGAGAAAAAACAAACAGTCTCAACAGCTTCTGGAAGTCCTTTGCGATGAGTTAGATTGGGCCATAAAAGATTATGAACTGAAATCGCATATATTCCATATATATATATATATTTTAAAAATCGCATACTTTCCACCTGAAAACAGAAGATCATGTATGTTGCTATTTTAGATTAGGCCTTCCTTTCGACTGGTGGATGTTTATGTACCTTTTTATTCATGGGGATGCTGGTAACGATTGGTCTGCTTTGTTGCTCTTCTTATATTCACTTACTCTGAAAAGCAGACGCTTAAAAATCACAAGTTCCCATCTAAACGAAGGTTATATTGAGCAAATCTTCTTCGGTTTTGGATGCAAAATCTGAAGAATACTTTATATGGTACCAAAATTTCTCCCTCAAGTCTCCGTCATAGCTTGCTTTTAGGACAACCGAAAGACATAAGATTGTTGTTTCTCCTTTGGGTTCCCTTGTATAATTGTTAAGGTTTTCTCATCCAAATCTATCACAGCTGTGCACAGTGTGTATAGCAATGGACCTGAAATGAGGTTAGAGACCATCCTTTCATTAAAATAGTAAGAAGTATCAATTTAGGAATCAATATGTGCTACATTTTTCATCAACTACCTGTCATGTAAATGGGATACTTCTCAGCATTCCTGTCCCCAAGAAGTGCTAACAAATCATTTTTTGATTCCTTCGGCAGAGAAGATGCTCTTGTTTGCCTGCTCAAGGAGTTCTCATCTTGTGCCTTCGTTAGCAAAAATATAGACAGGTTAAATTTCTACGAATCTGGTCCTCGCTGTTTGTTGCATTGTTGGAAGTATGGTGTGGTTACCTGTTTTACTTGAAGGTGCAAATACATGTTGGCATGGAAGAATGGAGTTTCTCCGATTTCATGAACTGAAATTCGATTTCTTGAAGCAGTTTCAACGTTCAAAATCCTCCGAGCTCTTGTGTCTATCAAGTTATAGCTGTGCCCTACTGAAGCTGCTGACGAATAGATCCTCTGAAATCGCACAACGATGAACATGATAACCAGTTACTATCTTGTGACATGTAAGAAAATGAACTTTGACCTAACTCAGGGGAAATTAGAATTGTCCAAAACAATTCAAGAAAACAAGTTCTCATTTAGTCGTTCAAAGTGTGACATATAACACCCTCCCCCCCCCCCCCCCACGCAACTGGATATTTGGAGCATCAACAACATAATATAGGGTCTCAAGATTGGGCATGTCAAGAATTGGAATGAGTCAGGTTGCGAAACTATGTTAAGAAAATGGACATTGGACTCAATAACAGTCCAAGTCCATATTAGTAGACAAAGGCTCATTCACTTAACCAATGCGGTAACGCGAATCAAAAGAGTAAAAAACTAAAAAAGAAAATTTAGAGCTTACAGCCAGAGCATCCTCAATGCTATTTGCTTCAAGCAGGTCTCTGGACACGAAGTTTCTGCCAATGGCACCAGCTACTATCTCCTCCTCACATGGTGGTACTGAGTTTAAAGTAAATGCCTATAATCGATAACGCACGTATAAATACAGTCTGAATTAGATTATCAACGAATAGTTGACAAGAGAATATATCGAAATACACTTATCAGTACCACTCCATGACTATTAAATCCAAAGGCACAACTTGGAAGTTCTCCAGCATATGTGTAAGCAGTGAATGATGTTCCACTAGACAATGTCACCTTAACCAAATAACTGCAATACAAGGAAAGAATTCCAAAAACACCAACAACATAACAAGGATTAATTTCTTGCTGTAGAAAGGAAAAACATAATTTACGTGTGTCCAACAAGAGCAACATTTGCATCCTCATTATGAGCAGCCACAGCCATGGAGTTGTTAACAACAAGAATAGATGAACAGTCAGCACTAATTTCATCTTCCTTGGGATTTCTTTCTGTCTTTGGAATGAATGGCAATATCTCTTTCCTAAAGTTCAATAGCAAAATCTGCACCAACCAAAACAAAGAAAGTAGTACCATCAGTTTGTTAATTTAGTACTACCTCAGTTCCAATTTGTTCAGTTATTTCCTTATTAGTTCATTGAAAAAGAAATACACATTTCTATATCTGAAAATAAATACTCCCTCAGTTTCAAAAAGATTGGCACTATTTACTTATTAGTCTGTTCCAAAAAGATTACAGCTTCCAATATTTTCTTAATAGAAAGCATTTATAGTTATATGCCAGATTTCAGACCACAAGTTTCAAAAATTTTACAGCCACACAAATATTATGGCTTATTTAAGATCACATATCTTAAAAATCTTTCTTTCTTTAATAAAATTTGTGACAAGCAAACTAAGACAATCTTTTTGAAACGTAAGGAGTAATTTTAAACTTCTCATTACTTGTATGAAGTGTTTATAGCCACACAAATTCTATGACATATTAAAGATCATAAGTTTCAAAAGTTTTATAGTCAAGCAAACATTATAACATGTTTAAGAACATAAGTTTCAAAAATTTTACAATTGGCTGTATTTAAAATTAAAAGATAAGTATAAAAGTTACTTCACATTGAGAAAGGGGACGCCACTTCCTTCAGCAATTCCTTTGAGTTCATTCCAGTAATGTGGAAACTTGCTCTGATTAGTTTCAGACAAAGCATGAATGAATGGCTGGGAATTTGAGAACTGAGCAAAAGGGAGGAGCTGGTTCTGAAGAATAAGGTCATTAGATAATCTACTGCGTATCTGTTTGGAGAATCTTTGGCCAATCAAGAAGCCAATTTGGAAAGCATCTTCACAAGGGCCAAATTCATACATCTCTAACTTGTTGGTTTCCATACTTGTGCTTCCCATGGTTAGTGTGTGTCTGTGTGTTTGACAAAGGACTAGTTTATGCTGATGGCGTCTTATCTTCAAGTCAATCATTTGCATGTACGAATGGTTTTTCTCTAGACACCTACTTTGTCCCTTTTCATATTTGAAATAAGGACCACTTGTAGAAATTCTATGACCATGTCCAAGCATTTTTTGGGGGAGTACCTGAGCATGCTGCAACAATTAATGGGAGAGAGTGTCACGCCCCAATCAAAACGAGGCTAATGGATAAAGGCACGAGCCACGATGCATCAAGTCATCTCATAGAGTTGGCCAAGCAAACAATGGGCTTTTGCCCATTTGTCCGTTCGGTTAAAACTAATTACATCCGCTAGTCAAATATACAAAAAGCACATAGAGTACTAATTGCATATACAATATGCAGATCCCGTGGCTATTATGACTACACTATGTATATGCGCAAACAATGGCATAGGTTGACAACTGCACATATGGGATCTTTACACAAATAGCCGGTTATATTTATTGTTTACTTTTCTAGCCATCTACATATACTATATATTGATTATACACATATAATACACAAATTATGCGCGTATTAAACCTTCACCGGCTATTTGGGTTAATTCTTTCATATATGAGCTTGTAAGTTAAGCTTAGGACTACCTGTCCTTAACTTTTGAACTTGTAACTCTAAGTTCAGGACTACATGTCCTTAACTTTTGAACTTGGGAAGTTCAGGACTACATGTCCTTAATTTCTATGCTTGTAAATCAAAGTTAAGGACTACTAGTCATTAATTTCTGTACATGTAACCCTAAGTTAAGGACCAAGTGTCCTTAATTTTTGAACTTCAAACTCTAAGTTCGAGACCAAGTGTCCTTAAATTATGAGCTTGTTATTGTAAGTTTAGGACTAGCTGTCCTTAACTTATGAGCTTATAAGTCTAAGTTAAGGAGTACCTTTCCTTAGTTTTTGAGCTTATAATTCTAAGATTAAGACTACCTCTCCTTAACTTTTGAACTTGTAACTCTAAGTTCAGGACATGTCCTTAACTTTTGAACTTGGAACTCGAAGTTCAGGACTACGTGTCCTTAATTTTTGTGCTTGTAACTTTAAGTTAGGGACTATATGTCCTTAATTTTTGTTCCTGTAACTCTAAGTTAAGGACCAAGTGTCCTTAATTTTTGAACTTCCAACTCTAACTTCAGGACCAAGTGTCCTTAAAGTATGAGCTTGTTACTGTAAGTTCGGGACTAGCTATCCTTAATTTATGAGCTTGTAAGTCTAAGTTAAGGACTACATGTCCTTAGTTTTTGAGCTTGTAAATCTAAGTTTAGGACTAGCTGTCCTTAACTTTTGAACTTGTAACTCTAAGTTCAAGACTACATGTTCTTATCTTTTTAACTTGGAACTCTAAGTTCAGGACTACATTATCTTCGTCTTCTTCACTTCCTCTCCATTCTTCACCAACAGTTTCCATCAAAATACGTCATTATTCGTCCCATTACACTCTCTTTATCCGAAAAAATACCAACAAGAACAGCTGTAACACAATCATCTGAGCTCACAAAATTATCAATCCGTAAAATTCCCGGCGATTATGGTCTTCCTTTAATTGGTCCATGTAAAGATCGACAATTATTTTTATAATCAAGCTAAAGAAGAATTCTTCAGATCAAGAATTCAAAAATACAAATCTAGTGTTTTTAAAACCAATATGCCACCGGGAAATTTCATTTCTTCCAATCCAAACGTTGTCGTTTTGCTCGACGGCAAGAGTTTTCCGATCCTTTTCGACATATTTGTAGAAATTGGACAGAACGGGAAAAAAGATAGAAGAAAGGGTAACACCGTCTTTCCATATTAATTTTAATAGAATAGTGGCTACTTTTGATCAGCATTAAAAATGCTAGATCAAAAGTAAATACCACTTTGAAAAGTGGCTACCCCACGCAATTTTTACCCATCAGAAGGTCACTGACTTTTTGGCCTAGAATGTCCCATGGGATTTATAAATATGGGGATTCTAAATAGGAAAATTACGAGTTATCCGCCTATAAGTAAATTGGTACAAAAATTGGTAAATTCATAAAATATTACTAATATTAGCCAAATGCTATCAATATTAGCCAAGTAGTTATTTGTAGCAAAAAAAAGGTCAAATTTTTCCTTGCTTTTGAGTAGGCGTTGTTGGAATAGATTGGGTACATCTTAACGAGTTTAAATCTCTGTTTTGGGATTATTAGTGGAGTTTTGAGGTGGTTTGAATTGAAAATTCGAAGTAGAATATGATGATATGTATATCATACTATGTATCATTTGTGTATCACATATATATCATGTATGTCAAATGTGTATTACATGTATATCCATGTATACACATGTGTGTGTGATATACGCGTGATACAAGTTTGATACATGTGTCGTAAAAGAATTTTTTAAACTCAATTTAACAACAAATTTTGATACCAAACCAGTCCAAATCACCTCCAATCTTGCTCTACTGCCTGATTTATATGTTTTCAACGAATTTCAACCGTACCCATAGAAAAAAATCCTTTGTTGCCTAATTATTTTAATACTGTATATCATTGGTAATGGATTTTGATTCCAAACTAGTCTAACTCACCTTCAAACTTCGTCAACATTTGTATATTGCCTTATCTATATATTTTCAACGAATCGCAACAATACCCATTGAAAAAAATATTTGTTTGCCTATGTTGTTTGGTTGTTGTATATCGTTAATAATACTTTTAACTATTTTAGATAACATGATGAAAATAGAGTCCGGAACCAAAGTGTGAATTTTTTTGGACTCAAACGACAAAAATAGGTGAAAAAACAACTGACTAATATTTTATATATAGCATGGTTATTCATCGCGCTATACTTTAACGACACGTTTTTCCGTTAAGGTATAGCGCGGTGAATAACCGCGCTATATTTAAACTCTAAATTGGCGGGAGGTATAGCGCATATGCAAGAGGCTAGCGCCTCCTATATATGCGCTATACCTATATAAAAAACGGGCTCGTCTCCTTCTCCGACCAGACAGAACCAGAAAGAAAAAACGATCCCCCCCCCCCATTTTTAACCAAAAAAAATTTCATTGGAGCCCACTCTTCCCCCAAAAATTACGTCTTCTCCGTATTTTAGCAAGTTAATACTGGATCCAAGGTGTTGTCGTGTAGTGTATCTCATCTATTGCTCGTTTTGGCTCACAAATCATCAATTTTTTTACATTCAAAAAACTTTAAATCGAGGTATTTCGACTTACTTTTTGGTAAAACTCATGTGTATAAAATGCTTATTAGTTGTTTTTCAACTGTAGTCTATATTTTCTTGTGATCATTTTTTGCTTTAATTAATTTGTTATTACTTATCCAGATTAGATTATTTATGTGCTAAAAAATTAGTAAAAAAGATATATTGTTATTTTATGAATAATTATTGTTATATGTGATTTTATTGTTGTACGTATATTAATATGTGACTTTTTTGTTGTTTAGTGCCCTTTAGTGTTATGTTGTGCCCTTAATTGTTATGCAGTGCCCTTTAGCGTAGTAAAACTGATAATAAATTTTAGCTTATGGTAGTTGACTTTGTTTATGTCCATTTAGAGTAGTGTTACTTAAACGCTCTTTAAGATTCCGTTGTGTAGAATAAAAACTACGTGCTCTCCGTAACAAACTCGCATAGAGTACTCAATTATGGATTTAATGTATCAGTAGATAATTATCAAATATTAGATAGGAATCATAAAATAATCATTTGTTGGAAAATTTGGGCAAAATATAAAAGTTAACAAACAAATCGTTACGAATGAAATAAATTCAATATTATTTAATATTAAATTTGTAGTATTTTTTTATATGACTAATTATTGAATATATCTTGATTACTTATGATATTTTAATATATAGTTCTATTATAATTCAAAAATATTTTAAAAAGATGATAGTTCAAACAAAACCATGCAGCATTTTAGTAGAAAAATATTGGAAACTAAGATATGCAATATTAATATAGAAAGTTTATCATCCTAAGTAATTGTTATATGAACAATTACTTAATTATCTTTTTCGTTATTGTTATTAACCATTTAATTCTCTGTTAACCCCAAAAATATCTGAAAAAAAGATGATAGTTCAAATACAAACCTCTCGAATTTTAGTCAACAAATGTAAGAAAATAACATAAAAACAACAATATAGAAAATTTGTCAAACTAAGTATTTTTATATGAATACTTATAAATTATATCATGTATATTTATGAAAATTAATTACTTAGTTCTATAGTACCCAAAAATAGCTGAGTAAGAAACAAACATATAAAGTAATAAACTAACATATAAAATAATAGTATTTAAAATGTATCAACCTAAGTAATAATATAGAAAAAATATCGATTAAATATTCATATAAAAGATATTGCAATATATTTAAAGATGTTAAACAATTAAATAGAAAAATACTTTAATTAATATTGTTCAATTTACAGATATCGTTATGGAGGTTACCCCTGTGCATCCCGGACCTACATCTCGAGAGCTACTATTGCTATAGGGCAACTATAGGTCGTCACATATTTGGAATGAGTGGTGCCTGTCCCAGACATTCCGCCCCAGATGTATAGACGATATGTAGGAGTTCATTAGGGACCACCCATTGCATCCCCATATAGTTAGATGCCTTCAAGGTACGGGTTTCTACAGGATCATAGAGGTCAGCCGGTTGCACTTCGAGTGGGCGTTGATCACGACTATGATAGAGGGCAGGCGACCGGAGACGCACACGTTTCATCTACCATCGCCGAGGCTACCATCACGCTTGAGGACGTGGAGGCTGTTTTTGGGCTGCCTGTTAATCGTATATCTATAGCTTACCCGCATGCTCTTAGAGATTATACAGGAGGGAATTACCTTCATATGTTGCCGCGGCTCAGGCTTCCAGCCAGCGAAGGCGACTGCATTGAGTGGGGCCAGTCAATTGCAGCTGACGCCCGCTCGGCAGCATCTAGTGGCGATGGACATGAAGATTACGGATGAATCACCACTAGAGGATATCGACCCGCACACGAGACTGTTGTTGCTGCTGATGTTTGGTGGTATACTGTTCCCGAACACTTCGGGAAACCTAGTCAGTTTGCGATCTCTACATCATCTTGAGCGGCTAGATGATTTATCTGGTTACAGCTGGGTGCAACTGTTCTAGGTTACCTGTATAGGC